CCTTTCGCCCCAATCAACGCTATGATGAACAGGGGGTGAATAGGCACGATCGCAACGTGATTGTGTACGTCCATATGCACATTGTGCATGTATACATAAACTGATATCGTACACATGTGTGTCGAACATCATTCTAAAGTTGACCATAGTGGGAGGACTGTCGAGGATTTGATTCTTGGATATTTGGTGAACAACTGGACTTATTTTTCACTGTGGCAACAAGTGAGCAGAAGTTCAGAGACAAATACAAATGGGCCATTGCAAAGTCTTGTCGTGTAGAAGCTTACATATTTTGCAACGCATGTACATTTAACTGTAAACATAAGCATTGCCCATGTTGGATCTTACGGCACTGAGAAGCACATTAGTTAGCCCAAGAAAAAATAGTGCTGCTTCTGATTAAATACGGTCTGTAGGTAAGGATTTTTTTGACAGTGTTTTTATGTTGATTGAATGGGATAAAAGTTGCCAAAAATTGCCCCAAAAGTGATTAAAATAAAAAAAATTGCAAGAATTAATGCAGAAATTTTATAATCAACAATGCCAATTCACACTTGCACAATGCTAGTCACGTTACAAGTGTTTTGATGTGACAAGAAGTTATTGACAGGTGTTTGTTGTGAAAGAAAAGATGATAGGATTTTTAAAACTTTTTTCTAATTTGCCGATGAAAATTCCTAGGACTGCACCAAAAAATTAGGGAAACCAGAACTGGACGTGCGATAGGATTACACTTTCATTTTGAATATTTGGCATCTCTGATTAAATGTACCAATTCAATCGTATTTCAAGCACCAGAAAGTATTGAGAACTGCCTTCACTGCACTTTGCAATCCAAAAATTTACCCGGCACTAAAATTGTCCAAGCTAAAGCACTGAACGTACGGGATATGATACAACCTCCTTTTTTCTGTTCGTGCATGTATGCTAAGTCTTAACATGTAAGGCTGCATGCTAATTTCAAGATTGCGAAATGCATGAACTACAACCTGTATAATGAGGCAGCGATCAGCAGCATATATGTGCACTTTGTATATACACGCCATTTTTTCTTAATGTTTTTTTTCTTCACATGTGTTGCTCTGATGATAATTGTGCCATTGCGATAAAATTCTGCCTCTGCACTGTTATTGACATTGCCACACAACCATATAAATCTGCCATTGTACGCTTTGGTTTTAAAGACCACAAGGAGTACCGGTACAAGGACAGCAAAGCTGGCAACAAAAATATTCCTCAGTGTGTAAATTCTGTCCTGGAACGAATCACATTTCAGAGGGATCCAGAACAAGTTCAGCATTTACGAGGCACCTGAGCAGAACAACTTGACATGTTACATGTATTTGAGTATAGTTCAAGTCAGTCTGACTTCTAATATTTTCTAATTCATTCTAACATTTTGTCCTCAAGTGCTTTGTCAGCTGTTTTAGCCAGGGTTGCTGAGACCAACTGGCTTCCTACCTCAATCGTGCTGGATTTTGTTGGATACCCAACCATGATACAACAGAACAGGGTTGCCTTGAGAAAATTATAAACATGTCAAGGATTAAGTTATTGTTAATTAACTTATAATTAACTTGTAAAGTGATGTTTTCAGTCTACAAAGGAGCTGTCTTGAAGTGTATAAAAAGTTGTACTTCCTGTTTTTGCACACGATACATGCAGTGTAATTCTTTTTCAATTCTTTTATTGCATATTTTACATACAAGGTCTCAAGGTCTTAGTCTCAGACCATCAGGTCTCGGACTTCCAGGTCTCGACTACAACACTGATTGTAGATGAAAATTGACGTCATTTGATGATGACTTCATCAGGTGACAAGTCATGTGGCATATCTTGTAAATTACATGTCCGATTTGGCTGAACTTTGCAGGTAACAAGAAAGGGAAATGTTACAGACAGAAATGGACATGATGTAATGAGAATGGTGCCTGATTCATGCCGTAGATCAGTTGTTCAAATGTACAGAAAGAGTGCAAAAAAGCCCTCTGTTCTGTTGGCAAACAGACAGATGAGCTCTCTTCTGTTTTTGTTTGTTTTTTTTTAATGTGTGGTTTTGGTCTTCATGTTGCCTGTTTCTGTGTTTGGGGCTTTTGGTTTCCGTTTAATTTTAGTTTTGGTTTCCTGAGTTCCGAGGTATATAGTCTGGAGTCCAGGATCCAGGGTTCCGAGTTTCAGGTCTAGGTTTTGGGGTTTTGTTTTTGAGTTTTGGTTTTGGTTCGGCGTCTGGGTCATGCCTTGTTTGATTTTGTTCTGTTTTTGAAGAATTTTGAAATGAAATGTTCATGACAGGGTAATTGCAATAGTATTTCCAATTTTTCAATGTTGGGCAGGGCTTAGCAAAGGAAGGTAATTGTCTGAACTTGGCTCATATACCTTAGTGGTTGCCTGCATGCCTGGTGGAATTGAAATCTTCGGTTTCCCAAATTTATTTTCTTAACTTTCACTTGCAATGAGTACAACACAGCATTGTCCATAAACAAGCACTGATATAAAATGTACGCCATACATTTACATTCTCACAATTCGTGACAACACTTTTAGACAAGATCTAAAAACTCCAGTGTCTGGGGGACAAAACAGAAAGTTTCTCCCGAAATGACTGTCAAATTTCCTTTATCTGTAAAAAACTAAAGGAGTCTTCTTCCTCCTCCTAAACGAGGAAATGTTATGGTATCGTATAGGAATGCTGATGCTTTTAACCCCCTAAGGAAATTAAGGGAAAAAAAGGCATATGAACACACATTGTACTTATACAGCATGACAACACAGTAAACTTAGTTAAATTTATACATTTATACCTATATAAATGACATTGTTTTGAGAAAAAATATTGACTCAGCTGAAGTAAAGGCTTTGGATTTCTTCCCCTCCAGCCTACTGTTATTAATACGAGGGTCTTTGACTTACTTAATTATCTTGTATTATCCAGAACCGCATCTTATCCAAAAAACTTTCCTACTTGTAAGGGTCATTTATTGATTGGACCAGTTATGGAGCCATTTCATTGTACATGTTCTTATTGATGTGGTCATGAATTTCTTTCAAAACAGTTCGAATATGTTCTCTTTGTAAAAGGAATGTACTTGTATTAGGACACCCTTTTTAAATTCTACGGTTCTCATTTCTAACCGACCCTATTTCTAGCTCCTGACCTAAAAACAACTTTTTCGTCTGCCGACCCTAAGAGGATCTTGCCTATAAAAAAGTATGATGTGATGACCTGCACAAAAAAATGCACTGGAAATGTACATTTGCGATACACTTTTTCTCAAACAGCATCGCAGCAACAATCAAAATCCATGGTACAGCATCAATAGCAAACCGAGCGGTACCTTACCATTCTCAATGCACTACATGCAAGCATGTACAGAGTGCCATAGAAAATATACACACTACACAACCACACTCGAACGAGGTGTATTTCGACATTGAAAGCAGCATGTTACCACAGCAGCATTCATTCCAAAATGGACTTTTATTTGCCCCAAGCAGAAGCGCCCCCTTATTGGTTGAAAACGAGCCATGTTGGTCAGGAGTGTTCATTTTGTTGGTAGTGATGTGACCGTAATGCATCCATTTCCTATTGGTTCATGAACCAGTGACGTTTAGTTCTGACCAATACCTCAGTTGCTAAGAAAATAGCACCCTCTCTTGGTCTAGCTCAAGGCCCATAGTCAAGGGTGTTTTTTTCTGGCTACCAATATGGCTATAAACATGTATACAGGTATATTGTTCTTAATGTCACTCCAATAGGTTCCACCTGTTTCCTAATGAAATTAGTTTCTGTGTGAAAAATGTAGATATTGAAAAAGCAAAAAGGCACGCAACCCCACATACCACTTTGCAGTTCTTGTTAATACACAATAGATTAAGAAGGAGATAAATCTATTTCTACTGTTGGGCTTCATTCGTCATGTCATATTGGCCTGCACCGCTGTCATGTTTGTCATAATTTTCTTAATGGTTATATTTAAACTATTTTTAAAAGGACATGTGTGAGCTCCACAGAATATAAAAAGGGCACCCTAATGAATAACAAATTGTAATCATAAATCATATACGGTAACAGAGAGCAAAGAAAATTAATGAAACACAACAGGACAAGCAGACACATCACCAATCGTCAAAGTGATGTAACCCATATCGTTGTGGTCAATATCATTAGGTAAAACCCAGCAGTCCAATAATAGACGAATTGCACTTGCTAAATCAGGTGACCTACACTGTATACTATAATGGGTATCAACCCATAGTGGTTTTTGAGTGTTGTTTACACACAATACAGCAAAGTTATGGTATAGTACCCAGCACATCAGTAGTCCGAGTGTTGTACCTTTTGTTGGCTTTAATTTTGGTTAATAATACTTATGAAACACTTTGCTCTTAGTGTACGTCGTGTTTGTTGATATTTAATACCCACTATAGGTCATGTGACTTTTAGAGGGTGCAGATGGTTTATTGTGGAGATAGTTGGTCACACCAATGCATATCATCCAACAACTGCTGTAACTGTTGTGAAAATATTTCAGCAGGTTCATTATCAAAGGAGTTTAAGTGTCATGGTTTTGTTGGCGATGAGCTTTCATCAGTATATTGCTGACAGTCCAAAATAATTACCATGGCTGAGCCTCTATCTGCTACCTGATTATAATGTCAGTGCAGTTTATTTATTATTTTGCTTTTAAAATGAATAAACTTTGCCAAAGCCATTTTTCTAAAAGATAGTCAAATGGAGAAGCAGATCTCAGTTGAGTCTGAGAAATCTTCAGTTTGCTTTGTGTCAGTTTGATAATCTGAGATTTCCTTTGTTTTTATTGTATGATTACATTCTATTGTGACAAAAATATCTGAAAATCTGTTCTTAGATCAGTTAACTGCATAAATTACAATTAAAAAAAAAAGTCAAAATACTGAAATAAATAATTATGTATTCTTTGGTCATGGCTAAAGTTGTTCCTGTGTCTTTAAAAGTTGTACTTTTTGCCTGTTCTTTACAGACTGACAATAGAATACCTGTGGCACATTCCCCACCACCTGATGGAAGTGATGGCTATGAAGATGACTTTGAGGTACAAATGTGGGATTATCTTCCCTATCTTTATGCATCATTAGGCAAACTCAGTTTCTGTCTTTTTTGTGGTCATCTTGTAAATAACTGTATTTATGTTTATTTGTTTATTTCTAATTTTTTTGGGATGCTGGGATACTGCATGGCAGCTGAAGGGCTGTTTCAATGCGGGCATGCAGGAGGTGAGAGTTGTCTAGTTGTGCCTTCTTGCAACATGGATATATGATGTTCCCTGCAAAGTGCAGGGGGAGCAATATCTGAGTGGAGCAATGCACTTAGGTAGATCGTAGATATGCAGTGACTATTCTCATGGTGTCGTTGAGTGTGACATCCATTTTTTTGGCATGGATGCTCCTGCACCATGCTGGAGCGGCATATTCTGCAGCGCTGTCGACGAGCGTGAGGATGCCTGTTCGGAGAGTACTTGTGTAGGCTCCCCAAGAAGAACCAGCGAAAGGACACAAGATGTTATTTCTTGATGAAACTTTACCACGCAAGGTCTCAATGCGTTGTTTGAAGGTAAGTTGTCTATCCAGTTTACCCCAAGATAGGTTGGGATGGGGTTGCATGGCAACGTTGAACCATCAAGCTTAACAGTGAGCTGTTAATAGACCTTCTTTGTATTTAGAGTGAAAGGTGTTGATGTGGTTTTGGTGGTGCTCAGCTTTAGTCTCCACGTACTCAGGTAAACAGCAAGGACATCCATGTTTGATGTTAGTACATTCTCTACCGTCATCCAATTCCGCCCGAGTACAAGAGTGCAAGTTCATCTGCAAATGCATACTTGGATGACAAGGTAGGGGGCAGGTCGCTGAGATAGATGTTGAACAATATCAAAGCCAAAACTGAACCTTAGGGAACCCCATTCTTTAGTTGACACAGTCAACTAGCCTGTCCATCGCTTGTCTGGAGGATGAAACTGCTGTTTGAGATGATGGTGGAGATAAACCGCACAAGTTGACAGTCAGGGTGACTTGTAATAGCTCTTGATGCCAGACAGTGTCATATGCTGCTGTGAGGTCCACCAAGATCGCACCTGCCTTGTGACCCTTTTTAAAAGCTGCCTCAATGTCATCAGTGAGATTGACAATCTGATGGACAGGTTCCAGACAGGCAAGGAGGAGTCTCTCTTGGGAGCTTGAATGGGCCACAAAGAAGTAAGACGGGGTGATAGTTCTTTGGGTCATCAGTTGGCTTGTTAGGTTTTGGTATGGCGATGACCATTGCCTTACGCCAGATCTTGGGTATAGCCAGGTTTGTGAGGCAATTCGAGTAGAAACCCTTGAGCCATTCCAGGCATCGAGGACTGCAGTGCAGGAGAAATTCTGGTAGGATGTTGTCTGGTCCCTGTGCTTTTTTTAAACATAAATCATGATTTATATTCAGAAAAGCCGTATCCTCTTTGAGTGATCCCTGTTCACCATCTCCCAGGTTGTACCATGTGATTGGGGTGTGATCCCTGGCTACATGGTGTTTCAGGTTTAATGGCTTCTGGCTAGCGCCCCCCGAACAGAGATATTGACAAATGTGAAGAGCCACCAACACAGGGCTGGGTAGCTCAGTTGTAGAGCACTGGTACAGTATTCCAGACGCCGCAGGTTCAAGTCCCGCTCCAGTCAATTTCTTTGTTCATTTTATAATCATAAGCTTCTACATGTAGTCAGTTTCTCTATATGATTTGTTTTATTCCTTTTTAGGGGGGCTAATTCACTCCCATTCCACTCATTCAGGCTGTTATTTGTCAATGATCCCCAGTCAAGTTTTCAAAGCTCTTTTTCCTATGATGCTAAAGTTTTGCGATAAAAGGATTCTTCCATCTTCCACTCATATCTCCAGGCTTAAGTCCCTAGTCGTGAATATTATAGAGAAATGGAATTTTATTTGTAGGTTTTGTACTTATCATGAACACTTTCATTAGATTCACTGCCATCGTCAGCGAATTCATTGTCACTATCCACACCTCCGCTGGTGAAGTAGTTGGCAAAAACATTCTCATCGCCTTTTAACTCCATCCTGCAAGCAGTTACATTGTTCAACATTGAAGCTATAATCCTATTGTTGGAATCACACGTTTACCTGACATGTTTCTCAAACACTTAAAAGCTTTTTTAGTGAGGGAATTCAGTAAAATAAATCACAAAAACACAGTCTCCTGTGTTCACATACCCCTGCCAAGCCTACACATGCAAATTTCCCAAGTGCCCATTACAATTTGCCGAAAAGACTTGATTATGTGTTCTGCTCCTCGACACTCCACAATGCATTGCGGTCCCGTCGCCATATTGGTCCTTCTTTTCTCAGCACTTTAATTTACGGACGTGTCTTTATGGCATATTTGGAGTTTCGAGGTCTGTAATCTTTCGCGTTTGTGAATTGACTTAATTCCTGAGTATGAATAAAGATTGTTTTCTGTGCTATTGGTAAGAGTGCTTTTGTTGTAGTTCGTACTTTTGTTGTTCTTTTCTGCTCCTTTTTCTGTGCATTATCAGGTTTTGGTGTGAGCTACCGTTGGAATGTGTTGTGCATGTGTATGGCCGTTGAACAGGGCTAGCGGGCAGCCCTTTGTTCTCTATATAGTGTATGCGTTCGAACAAGAATGGCCCAATGTTGGATGGGATTGGCTGCACTGCTCTTTTGTGGTGCAGTTTGCGTTATCTGAGATTAACGGCCTTGACGAGGAGAGACCCAATGGGCCGGGGTTGAGTGAGCAGCTGCCGCAAGATACACCAGACCCTTATTTACATTGATCGGGTTGAGCAAGCAGCTGCCACAACATTACCCTTGATCACCAATGACCATGGCTGGAATTGATCGGGTTGAGCGAGCTGCCGCAACATTACAATTGATCACTGATGACTACTCTGGTTGCCTACCGGTTGGGCCAAGCTGACGTTACGCTTGATCATCTTTGACCAGAGTCTAACGGACTGTCTCTCCTCTATGCTACGGGTACCGTGAGTGTTGCTACCGGCCACATCCCCAAGCGACCCTACCAACTGATGGCCCTGCAGGGCTCTCGGGGCGATGGTCCGCCGTCTGCCCCGTGTCCCTCACCGGCTACTGCTTGCCATGTGACGTCCGCTTGGAGGCAAACCAGTGCTACAACACGGCACCCAGCCTCAAGCTACATCTGATGATGCTAGCCCTTTTGGACTGCTACGCCACTGGGGCTTTCGTCCCCCACACCCCATCCGCAGTTCTATTATGATTTCTGCTCTGCCGATGGACTCCTGACATGAGGCCACCGATCCCGACATGGGACATTCCAGGATACGACCGACCACTTGGGGGACCCCACCCATTTGCACCTCCATCTGTCCTCGCTCCCCACTCTGGCAAATACTAAGAAGAGCAAGGCCAAAACATCTTCTTTGGCTTCTTCCTCCTCATCCAAGGCTAAGAAAAAACGCCGCTCTGATCTAGATCCGCCCCCATGGATGGCGACCCTTCAGTCCCTTTCAGAGGCCTCCACTTCTCTTGCCTGCAAGATAGACTCCAAGCCTCAGCCAGCAGCAACAGAGCCTGACCTGGATCCCCTTCCAGCCATTCCTCCTCCCTCACAAGGGGCACCTTCGGAGGTGGAAGTGGCCTCTGTTCTCTCACCAGACCTGGTCCTGGTCCAGACCTGGGATCTGGTCCAGGATCATGGCAACTCTGTCCGTCTGGCGCTGCACTTGGGGGGAGTAAACTTACTCCTTCACCCCAGTTCCCGTGCTCTGAAGTCCTCTGGCAGTCTCCCTATGACCAGTGCCTACCGTGGGGGTCGTGTATTCATCGGTATGGCTCACCAGTCTACACACCGGTACAGCCCCATGCCTCCCGGGCCAGCTACGACGACTGCCACAAGCCATGAACTGCAGCTATCAGACAAACTTTACAACGGTTCATTCAGGCGTGATTTGGAGGTTACAACACCTCGAGCAGATGCCCCATTGTTCCCAGGGCAGCCCATTCAGAAGCGCCACCTATATGTAACTATGCGGGCTCTCCGCTGACCACTTTTCAGGCTACAGAACTGCATCATCGCCATGCTTCTCGAACGCCACTCATCACTGCAGCTTCTGCCTACCGGCTAGGACTATCTGACCAGGGTGCTCCCCGGCAGCTCAACCCGTTTTGTAATGTAGTCCAGACATGCTGCTGACGCCTTGGGTTTTTAGGTTCTTTCTTCAGATTCTGGGGCCGGATCACCACACATCAGAAGCGTTAACACTCATCATCTTCTGCGGGGTCCAAATGCAAGAAATCTCGATCTACACCTAGGCAACATATTTATCTTATCTTATATTTCCCTTCCGGATCCTCACCCAGATTTGTAGCTGGCTCTGCTTCCGACTTCACATCTAGGTCCATATCCGACTTCACATCTGGCTCCGTCAGTCTGTCTAATACATGATGCTGCCCATTTTTTTTATTGCGCTTAATAAATTCATTCTATAATAACAATAATTTAACTTATCCATGCTCTACTTATGATTCACATCTAGCTCCACCCTGTGACGCCTGGGGGCATCTCCTTTCCGTATTAGGTACAGCTGGTGACATATTCTATTTTATGAAGCTGTCCCGGTGAATAAAATGTGATACAATCAGCGTACCGTGTGTTTATTCTGACCATCGTTCTTTTGTTCATAATGACTGCGGTGGATGTCATTGTTCTACCCGCATACCTATCGAGCCCTCTGATATCTGAAACTTTGTCATCTGACGCACTCAGGCATGTAAAATCAACCGCAATCTCCAGACCGGCTCCCCTCCATCTCTGACCGGGGATCAATTCAGTATCCACGTCTCAGGCATCCTAATTCACTGAACTTTACATCATCGTGAAATCTACATTCTTCTTTCATATATTTATTCCCGACTCTCCATATATTCTTTCGCTCAGCCTGGCCACGCCCAACATTGCTCTCTGGACACAAGTTCTTCTCTAGTGGGTGTGCCCAAAGTATGTATACTGTCACTGTTACAAGGTCAGACAAAAGTGTACCTACTATCCACACACAATTTTGTTTATGGGTTTGCCATGGTTGCCTTTCCGACTGCACCCTGCATAATCAAAACAAAAGGTGGAATTGGCAAGCATTTGTTAACTTCACTATTTAGTCGCTCAGATGGGGAGCCCCTCTTCCTCCACTCCATCCCTGTGGGGTCTGGGACACTGCCTCTTGGGACAAACACGTCAATGTTTTGGAACTTCAAACGGTGTTCAATGCTCTTTGCCCCTTTCGAAAACACCTAGTATGTCGTTACGTTCGAGAATGACAACTCCAGGGCAGTGGCATACATCAATCATCTGGGCGGCACTCACTCTCCCAACTCTGTGCCCTTGCATGGCAGCTCTTCATGTGGACAAATGATAAAGGCATCACCCTCTTAGCTGTCCACATAGCAGGAACCAAGTACCTTGCCAGGACCAAGTGTCGCTGAAAGTCTAGTTCCTGGCTCTTCATCACTACGACAAAACCTTTTCATCAAGCATCAAAAGACACTATTGCCCGATGGACTATTTCGGTCTTCATGAACAGAGACTGGCCGGCACAACACGACGAGACGACTCAATCTCACGTCAGGGCCCACGATGTTTGGGCCACCTCCACATCCTGGTCATACTTCAGAGGAGTTTCTGTGGTGGAAATCTGCCAGGCGGCTTGCTGGAGATCCCCTTCCACCTTCACTGAGTGCTATCTGAAGGATGTTCTGCAAAGCGAAACAGTTCATTGCACAGCGACCTTGCATTTAGCGGTCCAAACAATGTCCAGCACTGTCCCGGGCTTGACAGTGAATACTTCCATCATGAATATTTCTTTCTTCTGGTGAGTGTTCGCTTGGGCGACGCCCGCCTATGTTCTTTTGAAACTATACTCCCATCACTGACCCACGTCCATGGTATGGTGCCACTCTGCATATGTAGGCTAGGCATTGGTATGTGAACGCAGGAGACTCTTCCCCCACATTAGTGTGGGTCGGGTCTCCCAGTGATCGACCCTGCCCAGCCGCTCCCGCCCGTCCTTCCGGCTCTGGCGACCTTACTGCTTCAAAAAGGATGAACGTGGTGGCGGGACCGCAATGCATTGTGGAGGGTCAGGGGCGGAATACATAATCAAGTCTTTTCAACAAATTGTAATAGGCACTTGGAAAATTTGCATATGTAGGCTGGGCAGGTGAGGATTTTAACCCATATTTTGATTTTTATGCTAATACACATTGGCATATTCAAGAGCAAACTATGATGTCATCCAAGGCACTGAATCTCAATGTTGCATCTAATTTGTGCACAGAACATTTATAGATTTTTTTAACCACTGCTATGGCAGATTCCATTTTCTTTGGCAGTTTATTGCTGTGTAAGTATGTGGCAATAATCCAGCAAAAATCCTTTTCATTGAAATGTTCCCAGATAGCAAATTAGGGGTTCATTTCAACATGAAAACATGTAAACTGAACCATGTCTTCTTGGATTTACATCAAAGCAAAAGCCCCCTCACTTGTCCAGAAATGCTTGGTCAATATTTAATGTTTGATAAAGTGCACCGTTCAGTTCACGTAACTAAAAAAAAGTCAAACAGTCTTCATACATGGAAGAAGAGTACAGAGATACACAAAAAGTGATTCTAAGAAAAATTCATTTCCTGGATCCTTTTGATATTGGAGTCATGTGTGAAGCTTTTTTGGCGACATCTAGTAACACTATCAGGTAGTACACATTAACTCTTTGAATTGCTTACAAGTTTTAATTGTTCTCAAAGTAAAACTAAACGTTGATTTTTATCATTTGTGTGTTTAAGGAAGAGGATGGTTCTGAAGATGTTCCTGGCCGTTCAGAATTTGAGGAGGATAAGCTGGTAAGTACGATAAAAGATAAATCAATTAACCTAACTGCCATCTGGTTCCCTCGAGGCTGCCTGCTATCGTGCCATGGCTAAAATAAGAATCCTGTATTAAAATGCATCAAAATGAGGGAATTTTTGCACACAGTGCAGTATTCTGGATAAAGCCTAACCCAGGGATTATCAACTTACACGTATGCAGTGCTCTAGGCCAGTTAGGTTGACTGCACAGTCCTGCAAAGTAAAATAGTTTCTGATCATTGTATTCTGTTTCATTTAGCATGGACAGAGCTTTATTTCACAGTAATTAGGACCCATAAAAGTTTTACCAAGAATTACACATTTTTAGCTGTTTCGGTCACCAGCCAAAACAGTTTTTGTTTTTCTTAAGATTTTTTTCTGTTTCTTTGTATTTGTAAATTGTTTGTTTCTTTTTCAAATTTTTCCTATTGACTTAACCACTTCGTGCCGGCGCATTTTTCAACATTGATGATGCTGGGCCGGCATGGCTATCATTTTTTCCGTTTTCAAAATCCTTCAAAAATTCATCATTCCATTTAACGGTCGTTTATAGCTGCACAAAGTAATCTTTAGGCACTACTCTAAGTTGACAGGTGACCTTCATTGACGCCTGAGTATTTCAGCCAGGCCTGCAGTCTTGTCAACAGAGCCCAGATTGTGCGGTGTTATACAACTGTCTTTTGTTCACGAACCTGGCTCAGTGCACTGCTGACCTCTTTTCAATAGGGGCCAGATTAGCAAGCAGCGGTGCTATGTGGCTCATCGCTGCAGTGGTGGAGCACTTTTGTCCCCGGTGGTAATCCGCTTCCTCTCAATGCCCCAAACCCTGGTATACGGTTTCAAAATAACACTGGATTATCACCACTTTTGAGAGTGAAAAATGTTGGTAATGCCCAGCAGCCTTGTCTTTTGTTTGGAGTATGGTCTTTTGTTACAGGGCCCTGTTTCCTTTGTCCGAGTTCGGGACCCCGGCCATGCATATTAACCATACGGCTCCGATTTCGGCTGGTAGTGGTTATCTTAAGAAGCGTGTTGAATTTGGGTCCCCCAAAAAACAAAGGTCAAGGTTACAACAACTAAAGCAATAGAAATCTTGTGTGTAAACTTCAAATTTCGTCTGTGGATTGCTATTGATCCTGAGAAGTCTATTGCATTTTGGACCAAAAAGGCAAAGGTATCCTTGGACTTGGTAAATTACCTTGTTATAACAGGCACCTTGTATTATCAGAAAAAAAAAGTGAAAAAACAAAGCAATACTGGAACCTAAAAATGTCCTTGTTGCATTGGCAATGCTTTGATATTAACAAGGTTCAACTGTAATCAGGCCAGACTCCAGGACTTTCCAGTCTTCCTCTCAGTAGTGTCCATAGCATGCCATATAAGTTATATCCAAACACTCACCTTATATCATGTAAAATGCAACATTGCTTGAAATTTAATGGTACTCTATTCTTATAACTAGAAAAATGTGAAAGAAAATTTTTGTGGGATTACTGCTTTGAAAAATTTCTAGTGTATACAACAAGAAAATGTTTGTGTGAAATAAGATTTTTTCATTATTGAGAAATATATGAAATCATTGTTAGTAGTAAATGGAGCCTGGCAGTGTCTAAGGCGGCTTTGCAAAAAGGTTGCCGCGGTTTGACCGTTGCGGTCGCCGCAGTTTGGCGCGGTTGCTTAGGATCGTACAAACTGCGGTTTGGCTGCATCAAAATCACTCATGGGAAGACAAGTTAATGAGGTACGAGTTGAAACTGCGGCATTGTAATGCTAAAGCATCATGAATAATGCATTATCAGCTGTCCAAAACACAGTGATCGCGGCGCGTTTTTTATGAAGCCCAAAGTTTTTAGGAACTTCGGCAGTCGCTCGTATGCCCACTGACTTGCGTAACTATGAAAGCGTTGACTGCGTTGATATCGGAGGGGAATCAACGATCATACATAGTATGAATGAAACACAACGTTTTCAAACGTGATTTTGATCGGGTAATTGCTTCGAAATATAGAACAGCAAATGCTTGCTTAAAACTTGTATTACATACAGTATGTGCTTAATGTTTCTGCCACTTTGGTGGTACGAGTGTAAAATAATTGCCTTTTACTACCGGCTTGTATCAAATCCATTGACTTTGCGGTAGGCCGATGTCATGTGCGCTCCAATGGCCTGCGCCAATAAAAAGCCCAAATGAGAGCTGCCAACTTTTACAAACTCATTTTAGTATTCAGAAAGGAAAAAAAAATATTTTGTTGGGAAGATTTGTATTTTTCATGCGGCACTCTCAGTGAAAAACAGTACGTGAAAATCAGGACTTTTTTGCGCCGCACTGATCGTTCGCATTGCAAAAACAGCAATGGTAATTAAAAGCGAGTATGAAATTTTCTTTCGGAAAGTTGTAATCACAGTGGTGTAATAAATCACTGGTATCAAATAATGTGCACTTCTTACTTTACGGATTCCCGGCCCGGCGATGGACATCGTGAAACGCCATCCAAAAAGGTGAGACCATGCAACCAGCGTATATGCATTATACACGTAGTACCACTATGTCACGCGCTCGCAAATAAACAACTGTGATCCAGTAGACATGACATTCAGTCATTTATCGGTCATATTTTGCCAGCTCTTAGATGCACATACAATACACGCACCCTACTCAAAAAAAACAAAAACAAACAAACAAAATGATCCGTTCATCATAGACTGGAATTTAAGTCTATGGAATGTAGTGAGAATTTAGGTTCAACTATACGCTCCTTACGCAGTTCTTTGCGCTATAAAATCACATCGTTGTACTTCTCACAAATTTCTTCATGCATGCGTATTCCGGTCCCTGTGTTTTCTTTATCGGGAGCAACTGAACTGCAAACAAGCCAAGTAAAATCACACATCGGACTTATCGATGTGATTGACGCTTATTATCGGGCTTCCTACTGCAGTATAAAGCTCGTACGCTTAATGCGTTCGTTTTAACAAATTAAAGCCCTATTTTTAACAAGAATATCGTATTGCCATATTCCTGGTGAGTTTCCATGCGAAAATCTGTACTGGTTGGCAGCTCTGCCAATATGAACCAGCATGCCCGTTGATGATACCGACCCGTTGGTCAACTACACATAATTTTACAGTGTTTTCCTACCGGTACCCTAGGCTTTTGACGGAATGACGAACACTCATGTTCAACATCGAGTGACTGAATTTTTATAATGGTCATTTTATTAGTGTCTCTATAAGCCAGTTTGGGACAACAAATATCAGAAGTATTTCACACACATGGGTGGTGGGACACAAAGGCCTTATTTTCCACCACTGCCCAAGAGTTTAATCCCTGAATGTGAAACCTGCAAGGACGCTTCTTGCAAAGTTGAAGTCAACGAGTGACTGTCCTTTACTGTGTTGTTCGGTATATCCTAATGCTTCTAATTTGGTTCTGAAAGCAGCCCAAACGTCCGCTAATTTTATTATTAAAACAACTGCATAAAAACAAAAAGAGAACCACGGTTATGATTAAACAGACAACAAATCAAACAATAATCACAGAGGAAGAAAACAAGTGTTATTTATGAGAAAACCTAGGATGGGGACATAAAAGGAAAATATTTAATATTATTATTTAATATTTACAGCAGAAAGTAACAGGAAAACCTTAAAAAGCACAGTTGAATGCACAAAATAGATATGATAACTTTTAATTATCACAAATTAATATTGCAACCAGGAAAATCGTAGCGGCTCCTTTCCCCACCGTAAGTTGTACAACTCCACTCAAAATACATGCAAGGTCCCATTAAAGAGGGTGATTGACACTCCACTGCAAGTTCATCAGGTTGATTGACACCGACCCAGTTATCAGGTCTGCTGTTGAGGCTCTGTTCCATGATCAAAGGATTTTGCCAGAAGCTGCTAGAATTACAAATAGGGAAATATGATTCGATTATCCTTGATTAGTAGTACTTTTTGCGAGCTGTGATTTGGGGATACCAAATTCGGCAGTTGCAGACTAGGGTTTTTACGTTCAACCGCCAATGTGTGTTCTTGTACATGTATTTGTTTCAGGAAATGGGGAAGAAGTAGGTGTTTCCGGTAGAAATAGGTCGGTTGTCACTGTCTTATATGGAATATTCCAAAAAGGAAAGTCCATGTCAGTTGGTGGGATAGCTCTTCATTTGTACTGCTTGGGTTGTTGATAATATTTTTATTGTCTTTTTATTTTTTTTTCCTTTCACTGGCTGTAAATTTATATGTTTTATGGAATTTGGAATGTTTTATGGATTGAGAGATTGCGAAGCACTTGCTTGAACCGATTCACTCGTACCCACCGCCGTGCAGCGCGTACTATATACTGTAGTGAATTCAACCCACGTTCACTTTACGTACATGGCTATTGGATGTGTACACGGCTATTAAATGTATACACGGCTACTGCATGAATGGGCCGTTGCCTCCCTTTCCTATTTTGGTTCAACATAGCTGAAATATTCCCTAAAAATTTCTTGAGTCAAGCTGCTTCCACAGAACACCGAAAGCCATTTCTTCCCCCCCCCCTTTTTTAAGTTGGACTATGGATCCACTGCTGGAAAAAAAATATATAATTTATACGGACAACAATCGGATTTAGGGAAAAATGGGGGGAACCTTAGTATTTAAAATGTGTATGTAGTCATGGCGCCGAAAAAAAAGAAGCTTCTTAAGTACCTTTGGCTAGTAGTACAGACTACAACACTCGCAGATCTACTCCCTTTCATAAATCTCTGATGAAATTATGTGAACGCGACTTTATTTTGAATGATGCTTTCAGTAGGGATAAAAACATTTGGCAACATGCTAAAGTTGATGCCGGTTTTCACTTCACAAAAATGCAAATTCTAAGTAAAGTTGACATCAAGAAAAGCTCACAACGAAATTCACCAGGGTTGCAATGTGTTCAATTGTTTTGCAGATTTAGAGCATGAATACTTTCTGCATCGTGTGATTCTAGCAGGACGTTTGGCTCGATACGTACATGTACGTAATCCAGCCCTTGACTTTTCAGTTGAACATACATAACAGTTGTGTTCAATACATGTACAAAAGTGTTGAAGTCAACATGTCAAATTTAAGTCAAGTCGGGAGTCATTTCACTTTTAAGTTTCGTCGCAAGTAATATTTTTTCAAGTCAAGTCGTGCCTCACATTTAGCGACAAAAAGAAATAGAAATGCGACTCCAGTCATCAGCACAGCACATTCAGATATTTACCCTTATCATAAACTGTCAAATGCACTTTTTTCGTGCAGGAAGCTCTGAAATTTAAAACTTCAGTTTATTACATGAGATTGTTATTAACGTTATCAAAACTTCGTTGGCATTTTGCATTTTTCATCACTCACAGGTCTCAACCAACAATACTACTTTACGTATACGTTATGGAGATCATTTCCCAGAACTGCAAACCAACAACACAAACAACATGGCCGGAGTAAAAGTACGTTCTTGGGAGCAAAACAGTTACATACAATGTGCATGTTTTTTCCCCCTCAAAAGATGCCCAAGAAATATTGGAGTTGGTATGCTGGCTTCCTGAAAAGTACCTAGACAGCTTTGGAATGTCACCACAGTGGCTGCAGTCAGTTGCTAATTCCTCTGTGGAGCCGACCTCGATCACCGAGGTCCGCACGTATTTCAATAACAATAGGGGCTTTGTTAATCAGTTGCACTGATATGTAAAGTGAGCAGGACACCGCCGTCGTCGGCTTGTAACTAGGGATTGGTCAAACCGCGGTTCAACCTTTCTGCAAAGCCGCCTAATGAGTTGCCATGCATCTATCCTTGAGCAGAGAAATCAATTAGGGATATTTCCTTCACTGGACATTTTCATGGGGAATTTTCTGTCCCAAAGGATTACATAGATGGTGTCCAGTGCATGCACTAAAATGTTACTTTGAATGATAGACATTGTTAGATACTGTACACCTTATGAATGCTCTTATATTATTATTATTAATATTATATTATTATTATTATTATTATTATCAATTAGTGATTGTCAGTAATGTTTGTAACTAATGCCCCACCATATCACCCAGCCTGTAATTCTACATTGGGTTGTGATAGCCATCCATATAGCTGTGAAGGGAACTGGGCTCACTCCCTTTCAGGCACAAACTCTTAGAAGATTTGCAGTGCCTCTGTCTTTTTGGTCTCTTAAGGGGCATCCACTTGTACAATACGCAAGCAGTATGTTGACAGTGATGTTATTGTGTTGTCCCATTCTGATATTAACGAGTAGTCTTACGTCGTTGTGTTCCTCCCATATACGGCTCTAATTTATGCACATACATACAGTGTGCATGACAAATTTCTTGTGGGGAGAAAATGTTACCAGATTTTTTCCACTTCATTTCTCTCTGATATTTTTCTGCTTATATTGTTTAATGAAACACTAAAAATTATCTTGTGATATGTTCTTATTCTGATAATGCATAAAATTTTGATACATCTGAACAAGTATGGGATTTTTATGGTGGATACCTTATTTAGCCATCGCCAGCAAATTTAACTTAAAGAAACTTTGCCAGGCATTTGTACAGTAACTTTTTTTTGGGGGGGGTAAAAATTCTTACCGTGACAAGTCTTAGTCTGCTTCTGCGCCAACATAGTCATAGTGACTTTGTATTCACGAAGTGAGAATCAAACTATTTTACAATTACAACAAATTCCTCCTGAACCACAAATCAGGAAAACAACATTTAATTAATCGTGTAAAACTAACAAAAGAAGAAAATTCTTAAATTTTTGGGACAAAAAATGGTGACTGCTTAGGAACGAACTCAGCTGGGAGCATATTTATCTTGGGACCCCTAAACATGCATGCTATCCACTTCACCACTAACCCAACCTGGAACTTGTTTTAAATGTAATATCTTTTTAAGGTTTACTCCTGTGTATGCATCAAAAAAGGGACAGTCTACATGTAGTTGGATAAACACTGTTTAATTCAATTTGCTGGCAATGGCTAAATATTCACTGTTTAGGTTTTATGGACTTTGAGATGTTTTTCAAAGACACAGGCACATGGCATTTTGCATTGAAACATTCTGAGATATGACATTTTCACATGTGTAGTCAGGTGCATTATTCAGATATGATATTATGTCATAAATACTCTATATTTTCATTGAAAAACTTAATTTTGAAAATTGGGCAGAATTTTACAACACTTTGAAATGACATGACTGTATATGTAGTTAACAAGAATTAGGACAGTAAAAAAATGTATAGTAAACAGGTGCCTCATGATACATATAAACATCTCATGTTAATGCACAATTTTAGTATAGGGTCTTTGTAAAAAGTTTGATTAGGACATGAGTCTTTAATAATGATCAAATACCTGTTCAGAATAATTGTATACATGTGAATAATGAGTGAATTAATGAGTTGGTTTGGTAACAAGAGAAAAAATTATTGAAATGTGCACAAAAGCACTGCTTCCTTTTCATCTTTGTAAATGTCCTGCTGAAATCTCTTGGAAGAATCTCAATGAAAACAAAAGCTTGAAAAATGGATGAAATGTGAGGGTGTTAAACCATTCTTTTTCTTTGTAGTGATACTTACTTGCAATTCTTTATGAGAAATCAATTAAGAAGTAGACAAGTTAAAATCAAGAGGTTAGAATTGAAAGTAGTGTTGAAATCGTTTGCTTTTCTTACCTATTATATTTACTTGTGAAAAATATTCTCTTTCACTCAAAATTTGAAGGACATCTCTGAAGTAGAAGCACTAAGAATTGCAATGAAAGAAGAGAATGCAGCCACCTCCCTGCATGGCAAAGATTGTGTAAGTGTTGATATCTTTATCAAGAAATTTAATATTATTTTCTTTACACAGGAATTGGCAGTAGCATGTTCACTTATAGTTAATTTCATTAATCAAGTAAATATTGGAACAGCTAGTGCAAGTCTACGGTTTATTAACATTTATAATTGCTCATTTTGTTGATGCAGTAGTGTGATTAGCTGACCGAAGTTTTGTTTGCCACTAGGGGGCGAGGGAGGGGGAACGGGACAGCGCTACCAGCATTGGAACACATGTCATTTTTTCAGTGGACCAAAGCACTCACACATTGCGGTCCATCAAACCCAATGTATACTGCACTAACAGTTGTGTGCTGTTACTTTTAAATTTAAATTTTTCCAAATGCACATTGGGCAAATGACAAAAATGACTGCAGTTTATGGATGGAAATGCACACATGTCACATTTACCGTCCCGATAAAATTGATTGACAAAAATTGGATAACATTTCTTCACACCAGACATTTATAGTACACTTATGTAAATTTTACAAAGCAGTGCTGTTCCCAGTGGATTAACTGGGCACCCTGTACTGGTGTTCCATAGAAATCTTCCGTGAATACTTTCGGCCAGTTAAATTACCACGAATGCACTTTACATGTACACATAAATCTAATGAAAAGATGCCAATCCTCTGTGCATCCCAATTAGTAATTCTTCTACTCAGCTACAGTGGTTTCACCCCAAAACAAGTAATGGGAACACAGCCTAATTTTTACCCTGCCAGTATGGTGATGGGCTTGTGTGCAGGTGATCAAACCAGAGAAGATTGCAAGAAACAAGGGACTCATTTACCCGATCGAACTGGCTATTTTCTGAATTCCCAGAAAAGTTTTAGAACTGTACACATATTTACACATTTCATATTGTATGGAATTGAAGTATAATGTCAATCCATGGTGCAGTGCATGGACTTATTTTCAAATTTATAAAAATGAAACAAAATGAAGGTGTCTTACCCTTGCTGCCATTTTTTCTCTAGTACAGTCTACAGCCACAGCTGAACTATGATTTTTGGGACAAGTCAAAATGGTTGAAACTCATATTCTGTTACAGAAAATATGTCACCTTCGATACTTACAAATGCATTTTCGAAATGTGCGTGCACAAGAATTACCGTTGAAATTAACACAGCCCATTAGGTTACCTTGCATACACTGCACATTCCAAGGCTCATACCCCAGAATTCAAAGTATAGCTTGCTCCTTTTTTTTCCAGCGTTCACCGCTGAGTATATGCATTTTCTTCTGAGCTACTTATCGTTACTTATTACTTGCTGTAGGACTGTATATCTGACACTTCCAACCATATCTGAATCACATTCAAGGAAAAAATTATTTTAAAAAAAATTTAAATAAATGTTGATCCTGTGGTGGTCCATTATCACTGTTGGACTTTGATGTTCATCTGAAGTGCAACAGATGCAGATTATGGAGCTGAGATATTTTGAAAGCATCTTCATAAACTGTCAACAGTAATACAATTGACAAATGACACATATACCTGAGCAAATACTTTTCGCTTAAGACGAGTTTCGGATAATTCAAGATAGTTAAGTAAGTCCTGATGCCGCCATATTAACGAGAGTTGACTGTGGTGAGCCATGTACAGAATAGGTGGTTTGTGCTTTGTAGAAGTGAGATAGTTACCCACAAAACTTTAAGAGTAAGTGGTTTGTTCCTCGTTTAGGCAAGGAACAGAACAAATTGCACATTTTATAGTAAAAGCTTCATGTGTAGGGTCAGCCAAGTGTCAAAGAGTGTACCGAAGGTTGAGGGTGGTGTCGGCATTTACTGCTTGTGTATAGCGGTGAACAGGGACCGACCCAGCTTTCTTCCAGCTGCATTCCTCATGGTTGACTACAATCCTGGACAAAGTAGTTGGAACACCTCGTGGGAAGCGTGGTGAAAAGATCCCCCCTCTCCCCTGTTCAATGTTGCGGTCGTTTATTGGACCAAGATTCAGTCCAACGTACCCAATGAGAAAAAACATTGACGGGGGCAAGAGGGGGGCATGTTCCAATGAGATTTGTCCAGGATTGTAGAGATACCCGCAGCTGTAGTAAAAAACACATGCAGAGCAATACTTACATGTATATTGCCCCACTGCACTATAGTACATGTGCAGGGGTAGCTTTAAAGCGCAACCCCAATGTTGGTGAAAAAAATGGGGAATACAGTTTAATATACTCAAGTGGTATCTAAGTATTAAGTTACACATGTATATGTGTAAAGTGGCACTGTGACTTCTGAATAAATAGTAATAATGCCGGATTCAAACATTGGCAGCTGTTGAAAAATAATGGTGGCCATTTGCAGTAAAAAATGTTTTGCCTTTCTAGTGCCATGGTCCAGCTTCAATGATTTTCTGACAGTCCTGAGATGTCAACCACCATCAGAGATAAAAATCGTAGCAGATTCTGCCGGCCGCATGTGACATAAATTCCCATTTGCCAGGCGTGAAAGGAATAAAAATTGAAGTTTCATACTCCTTCGCTACGCTCTCCGCATGAAAAACAGTTTCATTCTATTGAGACAACCTCAATAAATCAAAGAACAAACACAATCAATCTTGATCTCAGAATTTATTAAAGTATGGGAGTGTGGCCATGTTGCAGGTGCCCTCTAAAATAAGACAAAGAAAAGAAATTGACAGTCACCTCAAAAAAGACTACAATCAGCGCCAACCTTGCTGCATGAATCATCTTGTAGCTGATGAGAGAACGATCGTGTTTGACGTTTTCGACTTTTGAGCTCCTTCAAGGCAGCCTCCTCTGCGATTTGAAACTTCTCTTGCTCGTCAGCGTTCTGGTTCTTTTTCCCTCCTTTCTCCAACTGCTGAATCGTCAACCAACTTGCTTTGCTGGCATCTGCGATTTTTATTTTCTTTTTCCTTTCCACTACCAGCTCTTCAGCTTTGTGTATATAGTCAATTGTCTTTTGTACATCGGCCTTTTGAAATAAGGCGAGCTTGATTCTATCTAAAACAACTTCTATTTGCTCACAGAAAGCAAATTGAGCAATATTGCCTGGTCTGGAGAGCTCCTGTACTTCAAGCTTGTTTTTGAGTTCTTTCAATGCTGAATCGTCTTTTTAATGATTTACAGCAGAAATCGATTCAAACTTCGTGTCAAAATAGTCTTGAAATTTTGGAAACAAAACCTCTGCGTTCAATGTGCCTGTATGAGGTTCGTCTGACAAAGACATTGCTTACTTAATGTGCACACAGGAGAGCTAGAAAGTGTGGTTGATACTCAACGTGAAGCGTAGGCCTGAAAGTGAAAAGCCCGGCAATGTGCACCCCTTATAATTAGTATACGCTTGGAATCACAACAATGGAAATAGTTTCATTGAATCAAGCACAAGGGAGTGGAATGAGCCAACACCACAGCATTCCATCCGAAGGTGGTATTCACCTTTCGGTATTTTAGCCACTCAAACAAACAAAACTAAATATGCATGTGGCAAAGTAGACACAACAATTTGCATGGGTCTGCGGGTGTCCTGTTTTCTGCAACTCCTGTTCTTAGTCTGTTCATGCGAGGTGGACTCTTTTGTTTCTCCAGATGCAACGGAGCTGGGTTGTCATCCAATCCGTCGTTCGAACAACTGCCTTCGAATTTGCCTGGATTAGTTTGTTTGCATTGCCGCGGTCCATGGGGCTAATGTGCTGGATGCCATTTTTCTTCTTTCTGAAGGGGAAAGGATGCGACTCGAGTCTCTTCGCCTTTTAGGAGGAGATTTATTTCATGGCAAATTTCAAGAAGCTATGGAAGCAGAAGCCAAGCGCTTGGAGGCAACTAATTGATTTCAGGAAACCCCCTAGCTCAGACACTGTGTCCATGGGTTCCAGTAAACAATAATTCCTTGTAAACCTCTGAAGTCCTTTCTTGGGCATTGCCAAGCGTGCACATCCAGCAACAGCCCAATCAGGCAGGCTCAGAACAAGTCTAATTCACCCAGGGAGGTCACTTCATCTTCAAAAGGGGATACCTTTCGATCCTGATACATCCCTTGCACAAAGACGAGTTCTGGCGGATACTGCTGAGGTTCTTGGAAGAAATGACTATTCAACTCCTATAGCCTCGTATTCAGGACCAGTAGGCAGCCATCTCAAACATTTTGCAAAGACTTTGGCCCTTTTTTGTCAAGACAAGTGGGTACTCAGTACTATCGGACTGGGATACGCTCTAGAGTTTACAAACAGGCCCCCACCAGCATTTTCGGCTTGTCAACTCTGATTACCGTCAACGCCGAACAGCGTCCCCTCTTCAAAAACGAAATTCAAACCTTTAAAAAAAAGCAATTCACCTTGTGCAACCACGGGATGACAGTTGAGGATTCCTCTCATCATTCCTCCTCGCACTAAAGAAACCTCTGGCAAGTGGCGTCCCATTCGTGAGCACACAGAAGGAACAGGCTCATTGTTCTAAACCATCCCTACTCCTGATTTTCAGATTTTCAAGTTTAAAAAAGGCCTAAAGATCCTAATGTTCCAATTTTCAAATTTTTCAGGAGAATAACAGAGCTAAACAAGAGTCTTCCAAATTTCCACAGATTGTCTAAGAAGTTCACTCGTCCTCATCATATGTCATACAACACGTACCCATGTACATGTACACACTGGTTGTGCCTGCATCGCTTGGTTGCAGCTTCAATTTACACATGACTGTATGGAAAGTAGCTGCAGCCACAATCGTACCTGTAATTTCAAGCCGCAGCCAAGTAATACGGATGCCAACCTGAACTCCATGGGCTGCGTGCACATTCCTTTGAACCTCATAGCACGGCAAGCTTGTATGAATGGGGTCAGGGCCAAAATTTAAGGAAATGAATTTATTTGTTTTAAATCTACTTTTTGTGTACATGGTCCAATAATTATGGAAAAAGGAAAATATAGATAATGCTATTTGTGAATGAGCCTATTCATAACCAGTGCACCATGTTGTATTTGAGAATGGATAGCGTGTGCATATGATGACC